CCCAATGAAAGCCTTTGGAGCACTGACTGTCTCTCAGAAATTTGCAAATGTTCCCCATTCTTTTTACAGTCAGAATAGGAAGAATTTCTTTTTCTTTGCAGCCTTTGTTTATGCCTTTATGTACCTCCTTCTAATGTGCTAAATCCAGGTTGCGCTGGCTGACTGGGATGACAGAGAAGAAAGCTGAAAAGTTTCCTAACCTCCCCATTTTGGCATCATCATGGTCCCCACACTTCCCTGTGCAGGAGCTGTGTTTTGGAAACTAAAAAAGAAATAAATAAGGCTTATTCTGTGCAACAGAGAAACTGAGATGATTCATATGTTATTAAAATAATGCTTCTCATTATACAAAAAGATCTAAAATTTACAGCCAAAGAATAGAGAACAAACAAACTCCCACAAATGTTTAATTGTGCTTAAAATGCCACAGAATAATTCGTTTTGTACCATCGAAGCTTCCTATCAAATTTATTCCCACGTCCAAAGCTTGGCAAGCCAAAGTTTTCAAGCCTCTGAACCTAGAAACAAAGCTAATTAACTGTTTCTTCTGTTATTAACTGCAGGCCCAAACTATAAGGAATAACATACAGTATGATAGAATAAGGCCTTTTCTTTTATCTCATTTAAGAAAAGCATACTGATGAAAAACAGTCCCTCACAGGATGATTTTTTTTTCCCCAAACTATTGAGTTGAAAGGTTTGAAGAATGTCAACAGTATCAAAAGGTTTAATTACATGAATTTAAATCATTAGAATGTTAATGAGACAAATCACGCAGTTTACCAGTTGTATACCAACTGTAAAAAGGAAATTTCTCTCTGGTGGACCAGTGGAAACATTAGGTTTGAAAATGCTTTGTGAATGCTAATCGTTGCTGTGAGCCCACCTCTCTGAAAACAGTCAGGAATTTTTGAAGGAAGATGGCAGAGAGGATGAGCAGAGCTGTTATTGAAATGGAAATGCATTGAAGGTACATTGCTTAAAACCAAACAATGAGACAGGTGTCTCGCGCTGCTGAGCCAACAGCTAAATGAAATCATGAGAAGTCTCCATCTGGTATGTAACAACACTGAAAATAGCCTGACCTTATTTAGGGATCTATCAGGCTATCAGTTGTGGCTAATGTCAGAGAAAAGTAATCAAGACCATCTTGATTCACCAAAATTTGCAAATTTATGCTTATTCCAGTGTTTAAAACTTGAAAATAATTTCTACACGGCATAAAGTGGATTACTTAACTTTGTTATAGTAAATACAGTGAAAATTATAGTTATTTAAGAAAAATTAGATTTTAATATAAGTAAAAAATATATATATTTTATTTTTTTTGAAGCAGCATTTTTTTTGCAAAAACATAAGTAGATAGCATTAATCAGTTTTCATGAAAAGCATCTTAAAAAGCCCCAAGAGTCAGAAATCAAAAACTAATATGTCAAAAATTTCCATGAGATGTATCACTTGTGTATATACCCACTTGCCTTTTAATTTTATTTAACAAGTTAATTGACAAATGGTACTCAGATTTGTGGAATACACATTCAAATGAAAGAATTAAAGGACAAGCATCTAAGACTAGAGAAAAACAGGATATGAGAGAAAGAATGTGATCATAGGAAACATGGTCCTATTGGTAAGATCTAAAAATTTCTTCCTGTTCCCCCCATAGGAGGCTTCCTGGACTCCAAATATGCTTTGGGGCTTGACAACAGGAGCTGAATAGCAGGGATCTAAGATGAGTCTAGCCCCAAAGATCAGCACTGCTGGGTGTTTTAGACATGCTACAGTTATGAGGGAGGATCGGCTACTCTATGCCCACTTACATCATGGCTGCTTTCAGCTTTGGACAGAAAATATCATAATGGAACTTGGCTTCTCTGATCTATAAAATAATTTGTCCCTATAGTGTTACATGGGTTTTTGTGGTAACTAAAAAAGAATGATACCTTTCAGAAGCTTAAATAACCAGCTAGCTAACTCTAAGAATACTTAAACATTCATCAGAGATGTCCCTAGGCATTTACAGTCTTCCTCCAGGCATGTCTGGAAGTCCTGACAGTGCTGAAAAGGCAGGTGCTTGACTCATGTTCAAGTTTCAAAATAATAATTAAATCTAGCTTTCTGTTATCTCTCTGAGCTGACCTGTCTGAAAACAATACTTTAGGGCATATCTGCTAAATTATATTTCCTGTAAGATAAATGATATGACGATGGCTGCTTTATCATACACTTAGCTCATCCAATTTTGGAAGATTTTCCTCTGCCTTTTCAAATATTTAAGAGAGAGGCAAAGCCCCACTAACACCCCGCGGTGGTGTAGGCTGTGTTATAGGCCCCACAGGGTATTATAGGCTGTACTGGGTCTGGCTGGGCTGAAGTTTATTTTCTTCATAGTAGCCCATATGACGCTGTGCTTTGATTTGTGGCTGAAACAATGTTGGTAACACACCAGTGTTTTGGCTATTGCTGAACAGAGCTTGCACAGCATCAAGGCGCTCTCTCTTTCCCATTTTGCCCTTCCTCCCCCAACAGCAAGTTGGCAGGGGGTGGGTAAAGTGTTGGGAGGGGACCCAGCCAGGACAGCTGACCCCAGCTGACCAAAGGGATATTGCATACCATATGAAGTCGTGCTCAGCAATAAAAGCTCAGGGAAAGGAGAAGGAAGGGTGGACATTCAGGGTTATGGCATTTGTCTTCCCAAGTAACTGCTACACATGTCGAAGCCTTGCTTTCCAGGAAATGGCTAACCATCTGCCTGCTGATGGGAAGTAGTAAATGAATTCCTCATTTTGCTTTGCCTGCACGTGCAGCTTTTGCTTTTCCTACTAAACTGTCATTATCTCAATATACAACTCTTCTTGCCTTCCTTGTATTTTCTCCCTGCCCCACAGCAGAGTCAACCCATCACTTACTGTCTGTAAACCTGTTTTGAAAAGTTCACCGAGCCAGGAGGGGATGCACACACAGGCAAACATGTATCTGGCCCAGTGACTACAGCACCCTCCTAGCAGAGGAAATACTATCAAATGAAACTGAACCAAACTAAACTGAAATAGTCCTGGGAGCAAGAAGGAAAAAACAGGTCTCCCAGCTCACTCTCCCAAATATTAGGTTGGAGGAAGAGGTCATTTGTCCATGTTTGTCTGTCTTTCTCATTTTGGAGCATGTTCACACATACAAATCCTGATCAGAAAGAAATGCCTATTTGTAAAGCAAAGACCCCATGTCCTCTGGGGCACTATGTTGGCTTGGACTCAGCAGATATGCTTCACCTTGACATTCCTTATTGCCTAGTCTAAATAAGTCCCTCTGGTAGCTCTGCTGTGTCCCATATCTAAAGGACATAACTCTTCCCATGCACCGAGTAAGAGCAAGGTGACTAATTCAGAATTGTCTATTTTTACAAGCACCTTCTGTTTATTTATCTAGTTCACATCATGTGTTGGAGACTGAAACAGCCCACAGGCACTTTTCAGTCTACTGTCAATATTTCTCTTGAATGTGTTTGGTCATTTGTCCTTTTTTTTTTTTAAGAGAAAGGAACACTAGTATAAAAGTGGTATAAAAGTGTATAACTATTGATAGACTGTGTTATGGGAATAAATCATATTGATTGAACATCTTGTCACTGGTGTAATTGCATCTGTATTTAGGAATTCTAACACCGTAGCTGCAGAGTATCCTGGGCACAGGTCCAGCGCTGGAAATGAGAACTGGGGCTCACAATGTCCCTTTTGGTAGACCTAGAGAATGCTAAGTGTAAAATGTCTCATTAAAACAGAAGAAAAGCCAGACCTATTGAAAGTGAGACCAGAGCAGACGGTTCTGATGTTAGGAAGGAAAACAGACTTAGAAATGGTAGGAAGCCTTTTAAGAAAGCTGAATGTAAATGAACAGAGAAATTTTATTTAACTTTTCCACCCTTCCCAATGGTTGAAATTCCCCACAAGGGATTTAATTCTCTTCTGCTTTACAGCAGTGTCATTCTAAATTGCTCTCGGCTGTCATCTTTACATGTCCTGCACAATAATTTCTAAGTTTTATGAATTGTCAGAAACAAACAAGCTGGCCAGGACAACCCCTATTAAACTTCCTCATCAATAGCCTTCTAAAAGACAGAACCCAGCAATATGATTGGTGTAGGTGGATAAATAATTAGGCTTATGCGTTGGTATCATAAGAAACAGATGTGGACAAAACACGACAGATGAGAGGCATTAATTATCAGCTTTAAAAACATAACTAAGAGTATGCAAGGAGAAAGATTAGATACTGTCTGGTTAGCTTCGTACTACTTGCTTTTCTTGCCTCCAATCGTTTAAGCCTGTTACTCTCTTTATTATGTATTAACTTTGTCTTTCTCTGTGTCCTTCATCTTCAACCATAGTTGCTTTTACAGTCTAAAATGACAATGATATCAAATGCTTGTAGAAAAGCAGATTTTTTTTAACTCTAATGAAAACATGCATTTATTTTAGGGTAAAATTGTTTTTTCTAGAAGTCATAAAAATAAGAGACTAATAAGAAAATATGAGGTCATCTAGTTTGTGCTGTTATTTATCAAGAATAGCTTTCATCTATAAAGGGAATATAGACAGACAAATGAAGAGCTGTTTGCACCATTTTAATATTACAGTGTGCATCTAGATATCTTCTTAATAATCTAGGAAGGTGCATGGTGCTCTAAAAGGAAATATTCATACTTTATGTTACTGGTAAGGAGGAAATGCTTAATGAAATCAGTTTTTTTCAAAGAAAGGCTAGTTTTAGTAAGTTACAGTTTATGTGTTGAAGTTTAAACTACAAATTATGTGTATATAATATGCTATAATTCACCTGAGTGCAATTATCACTCCTGATTTCTTCTAGAAAAGAATTAACCGTGTAACTGTAAAAGACACGATTAATTGTAAGATTTGTTTATAACTTCTATGCAATACTGAACAGAGTTTCTGCGGGAAAATAAACAAATTCTATCTATTATTAAAAAAATTAATACTTACGTAAGGGATTGTGTCCAAGGTGTCTGTGTTGACAATTATAGGGGCAGGGCTTGCTGAAAGGGAAAAAAAAAAAAGAGAAAAGAAATTTAAAAATCAGAAATTCATTAATATTGAAATGCCCATAATGATACATTAAATTAAAAGTCTAAAAGCCTAGCTTTCCATTGAATTCACATCGTATAACAGTACATAACTTTGGGTACTGTTCAATCAATTGAGGATGAAGGAAATAGATTCTCAGCCTCCAAATCACCATTCACTGTCGTCTTTCTTTTCAATTTCATTAGGCTTTGGGTCACATCCTGAATATATAATAACTAGTCATTCATTTTTTAGTAGAACTATAAGAAACATGATGTACTTACTTACAAGTTACAATCAGGGGACCTTGGGTGTGAAGGTTTCAGTTTCCCTTACCTTACAAGTCCACTTTTTGTGTTTGAGCAAATCCAAGATGATCAACTGATCTTTACAGAGGATAAACCTCAACTTTTTATGTTTACACTACTTATCGTTACTATATAGGTATGTAGTATATGTATATGCACGTATACTATGATATTTATGTCAAAGCTATATATTCTGCATGGCTCATATGCACTCAGCTGATGTTCAGTTTGAAATATAGACCCAGTTTAAAAAGATTTGTGAATCTGTAAATCTGCCCAACCTGATCTTTAACTTACTGATGAAGCCCATATCCAGGCTAGTTTCCAGACACCTGAAATGCCCTAACCTCTTCCCCTCCCCACACTGGGGTTCAGCAGTGGTGACCCAAGGCCGAGCTCTGATTGGACCCAGCTGCATAATCTTGGCTCAGACTCTGGAGAAAACTACAGAGCTGTGAGAAAGTGTAGAGTAGAGCTGCTCACCATAAGTAAAATGTCAGACAGAGGCAGGACTGCTGAGATGGCATTGTTAATAGCTCAAGGACTCAGGAGAAGGATCAACACGTAGTCAGTGTAGTACAAAAAGGGATGGAGGGCATCCCTTCTCTGCCTGACTAACGCCTGCTTGGTCAGCAAACACTCTTCAGGCATTGTGTTGGGCTAATGAACATACTAATGCTTAGCACAGTAGCTCAGTAGCTCTATTTATCTACATTGTATGTTAGCCAATGAACGACTGTCTGTACTTTAAACTTGTATAGACTGCAGGGTCTCTTTGTGCATGGCAGGAATGATTACGGCACTACTGAAAACACTGATCATATTTCTGTTGTCAAATATTCACTGCAGGATTTCAAAACCTAAGTAACATAACCTGAATTAAGAATGTAACAGCAGCGCAGCAATTCAAATACTTTGAGAATATCACAGTTTCTTTCTAATTTTGGTGTAGTTATGGTAAAATATTTCTGTGCTCAGAGAAATTGTATGTTACTGCTCAACAGCTACTGATGATTAATGCCATTATTTCTATACAACTGTGTAACCTGTGAATAAAAAACCAAAAATGAAATGCATACAATTTGGTGTGTATACATTTCATGGCATGTATCAGTTATCATAGTAAGGTACAGTTCAATATTAAAACGCTTAGCATCTGAAAAGATATACAGCCATACCCATTTATTCCCATTGTGCCCTATAACACTGGACACTTCGGAGTGATAAATAAAAGCTGAAGGCCATTTGATTACAATATTTTTAGCTTTAGGCATATGGAATTATTTCTAACTGTATTATCACTGAAGGTTAAACAAAGGATTTCCTTTTTAGAATCATAGTTTTTACTTACATGAGTATTTAGCTCAATACACTTAAAGACAGGTGATGAGTAGATGTCCCTCAAACTGCTGCCTAGGCTGTTATTAGTGCAGCCCAGTTTGCTATTAGCTTTCGCCATTGCAAGGGCACATGGCTGACTCACGTGCAACTTGTGCTCCACTGTGCAAAGCTGCTGCCTAGCCGGACCGTGCCTGGCTGGGACTGCTGCATCTTTTAGTCTGTCCAGGTGCAGGAACTCCTGCCTGTTGTCACTGAACTTCGTGAGGTTCCTCTCAGCCCATTTCTCCTGCCTATTGAGATGCCTCTGAATGGCAACTGTCCAGTGTATCATCTGCTCTGCCCAGTCTGGTGTTATCTAAAACCTTGCTGACAGTGCACTCTATCTAATCATTCTGGTTATTAATGAAGCGTGAGGTTCTCTCAGCCCATTTCTCCTGCCTATTGAGATGCCTCTGAATGGCAACTGTCCAGTGTATCATCTGCTCTGCCCAGTCTGGTGTTATCTAAAACCTTGCTGACAGTGCACTCTATCTAATCATTCTGGTTATTAATGAAGATGTTAAACAGCATTAGCACCAGTATCAACTCTGTAGAAACACCACAAGTAACTTGCCATCAGTTACTGGACTTTGAATTGCTGACCACTACCCTTTGGTTCTGGTGGTCTAGACCGCGTCCCACTCATCTCCTAGTACATCCATCCATTCACTCTCTCTCTCATTTGGCTACAGGACTGAGAATTTGTGCTGAAAGCCTTGCTAAAATCAAGGCAAATGACACCTACTGATTTCCCCTCATCCACAGAGCTAGTCATCTCATCACAGAAAGCTGCCAGGTTGGCAAGGCATGATTTACACTTCGTAAATTAATCTGCCTCTTTGTAATCACCTCCCTCTGTCCTTCATGAGCCTTGAGAGACACCCACCAGGATGTTTCCATTTGTTAGCTTCCTACCTAACCCTGACCCCCAGGTTCTCACTTGGCCCGTCACCCCTTCCACGGCAAAAGTCTGAGCATTTAAGCTGCTCCTTTGAATAGTGTGATCCTTCCCTGCCTAGCCTTCCTACAGAGCCTACAGTAAAGAACTGGTTTTCAAGCAAGAATATCTTTCAGGGTTCATTTTAACACAGTGCTTGCTGTATTGTTTACTGATTAGAAGAGCTGAACTTCAACTATCAAATTGATGATTTTCTGCTATTGAGGTACTCATCCTGATCAGACAGATGGGCATGAGAAAATTCACAGAGCAATAGTTTCAGATGGATATAGTGACTATAACCATTCACACACAAGAAATATCATCAGTGCATTTTCCTTTTCTGTTCCTCCTGTTCCTATCTGTGCATGTGTATGTGTGCATGCATTTCTATGTGTGCGTGCATGTGTATGTGTGCGTGCATGCATGGGACAGCGAGTCTGTGTGGTGATTTGGGTTCTGTTTTTTTTTTTAACTGAGAAAACTGATTTAATACAAACATTTTGCTTCAGTCTCTCTAATATATGGTACTTTGAAGAACACTGACATCCTGAGCTACAACATTGCGTTTAAGTGCAGGAAATGGAGCTGATTTTATTAGTTGTGTCCTGTTTGTAGGTCATGCTTTAAAGTAAATAGGAGGCTTTAATCATGCAGAGTTGAGAAGACAGTTTGTAACCACTGGAGAGAACCCTAAATGTGGTACTAGCCATGGAGTACACAATAGCATCAAAACAGTCCTGTAATCACAGTGAAGTTACTCAAGGGATATGTCAAGAGAAGAACAGTAGCAACAGGGAGTCAGAAGGATTTTACCTTCCCGGGTGATGCGTCTATATCTATTCTGACTTAAAAACACATCACATGCACTGATTCACCAAATTCTCAAAGAAGTTATCCAGATACCTGTGCACTTCTTAGAGAGAACACTGGCAAATCTATCATAGCAGTTCATCAGCTCATCAAGAATACTTCCAATTGTGCATAAATTAACAAATGCACACAAAAAATTTCCAGATTCTCTCAAGAATCTCTGCCTACTGTGTCTTTGAGACAGCACTGCCTCTTATTTGTCACACTCTATATACCCACACATATATAAACTATCTAAGTTTGAGACTGGGTGAGAAGAAGAAACGGCTTTCTGGAAGACAAAGGTAATGACTTTATTCCTAGCTCTGCCCTTTGGCCTGCTTTGCAGTCTGAAACAAGACATTTAATTTCTCTTTACCTAGATTTTTCCAGCTATAAAACAACTCTAGCAACACTGGATTAATTTGGTCAAAGTTTTAAGAGAGATGATGGTTGGCAAGAACTAAAGAATCTATCTATATGTAGGGAGTTTTAAAATTTTACATGTCTAATTGCCTAACTTGCAGGATGAATTCGAATCAGTAGTAATTAGTTCACAAAAGAGACAGCCCTTTCTTAAGTCAGGTAGCATACAGAGGGCTCCCAGACTTTGCAATCAGATTTTAAAGATGAGAAGAGGCCTTCGTGAACATATTCACAATTCTGCAGCTGCAAAATAAATCCAAACCAATCACCAAAAGAGGGAATTTTACTGAGTGTAGTGAATTGAGTGATCCCGTTTTCCCCATTCCTCATACACTTTCCTTTCTGCCCTAATCCTTACCTATACATTAAGTATTATATTATGCTGACAATGTACCATGTGGGCTGTCAGCCTTATAACTACTGCTCCCTGCACAGACCTTTTTCCTGCCCTTGACTAGAAGCAGTGCTTTCAGCTGAGCCATCTCTGTGCTTTGAAGAAAAGGCATCACACTGACAGCTGGGACAAAACTTGAACAGCTTTGGGGGAAAAAAAAGGAGGAAGGTTTTTTTTTTCTTCTTTTTAAAGGACTTGAGCACAACAGACGTTGCTTCCACAAATATATATGAGATTGTTCTGCTTGCAGCGCATCAGACAGTCTAGTTGCTTTTCTACCAAAAGTGTAACTTAAAAGCAAGATACAGTGAAAGCACTTGAAGCCAGTAGAAAGAGAATAAAAAGGCACACGGTCTAGTTCATGAACATTTACTCTGCTACCAAATTCTCTACAAGTGCATGACATGACTCATACCTCTCAGACAAGATGAACTTTCCCTCTACCACGAGTGCTAGCATTATCCTGGTTGACTGGTTTTACTTACAGCATTCACAGTTTTATAGACTATCCATATTATATTGAATTTCATTCTTTTTGGAGCATTCATAACTCTTTGTTTTTACTGTTCCTACTATGCAGTGCTGTATTCAACACCAGACCATGAAACTACTTGCATAGGTATATGGTAACTTTTATAAATAACTAGCACAGCACATGACTTCTTAACAGAAAAC